ATTCCACATATAAATGCTCTTATATGTTCATTTAAAACTGACATCACATAATATAAAGATGAATACTAAAATTTATGCCAATAATTTAAAATTTTCATTTTCTTTACTTGTAATGACATTAAATAGCAAATAAAAAACACCGTGTCAAGTCAAAAGAGAGACAGATCATAAAAGAAAGAAAAAAGCTTCATCTTTTAGGGTCTTTAATGATATTTTCCCCCTACTTTTTGAACGAGTTCCATGTCTTCATTTTGCACTGGGCCCCACAAATTATGTAGCTGGCCTTGATTCCATGGCTTCAGGATATGTCCACAAGCACTGGTAAAGCTGGTTTTAGACCAGCACCATCCCAGGCCTTTTACCAACGTGACTTTCTTCTAGGCCTTCTCACACCCCTGTCTGCAGCCTTCAGTTGGGATCAATGGATATTATCTGTCTCTTTGGTAAAATAAACAAAAATCTCCCAAACATAGCTCTAAATAGATGGAAAAATGGAAGGAAATGAGGTAGTAGGGGCTTATCCAAGGTCACAAGGTATGTCAGGGATAGAGGCACAAGCTCCTAGCCTTCAGGTCCAACGCCATGGTCTGTTGGCACCCATCTCCACTGCTGGCAGTTGAGCCTCTAACGTCATTTGAAAATATCAACAAAGTCATTATGTGTTTCATTGCTTTGATCACACCTCTGCTGGGGCCACCACAGCCCCGAAGGAACAGATGCAGAGTAAAAGCCTGTGCCCTTCAAGGTGTTCTGCACAGAACATTCCAAGGCCCCAGGGGAGTCCTATGTCTTGTTCAAGGTCAACAAGAGTCAATCGACAGGCTGATACATGCTTCCTCTGTGGCCTCAGTAAGGATCAGGTTCCTGTGTCTCCCTAGGCAGGTCAGAATATCTTTTCCAATCATTGTATCAGAATCATTTGAAATTCTGAAGGAACAAAACACCCCAACTCTTTCCTTGAATGTCTTAGACAATAAGACATGCAAAATCATGTCCAGGGGCCCTACACAACTGGCTAGATCCCTTCCAACTAAAAGGAAACCCAAGCCAGAACAGACCACAACCTGGGGCACTTTGCAAATTGCCTGTGCACCCTTCATGCGGTCCCCTCACATCATCCAAATGGGTTTTTAGATCAATATCTCACAGCACATTGTAGCTGCTCCCTTGTTATTCTTTTATAGTCTTCTGTGCAGAGTACCAGGGTCCACTGAGTCTAGGTTTCCTCCAGAAGCCTCACAATAGCCCCTTGTTTAGAGCAGAGATTCCCTTAGCAACACAGCCTAATTCTCCAGGTATTCCTGAGTTAGTTAGTCCAAGTTCCTTCTAAACCTGGAGCCTCTCTCTCTCTAAACAGCTCCGTACAGAAGGAGGCGAGATCCTTGAGAAAATATCTTCAGACTGCTCCAGTCTGAAGCCCGCTGGGCTGCCGCAGCTCTGGTGGAAGGGTCAGCTGCCTTTCTGCCAAAATGAACCCGCAGTTGCTGGTCTCCTTCCTTTTAGCAGATACACAGGGGAAAAGATATCTCATGGGCCATGCTGCACTGTTCTCGCTCTAACAACAACAATGATCCTCTTTCCTTCCTTTCTATCCAGTGATAATCTTCACGAAAATATTTTAATGAAATGTGAAAATGCTTCTGACATATTAATGGTAAATGGAATTAAAAGCAGGATACATGATTGTATATACAGAAGGACCTCAGCTTTGTAAACTGTTTACATTTATGGACAGAAAAAAAATACAGGAAGGAAATACACCAAAATGCATTTCTTTAGGTGATGGGATTAGAGGTAATTCTGTATTTTCTTCTTTAAACTTTTTGGTATTTTCTAAAAGAAAATAGGTATCATAGGTATCGATTACTTTTATAATCCAACAAGAAAGGATACTTTCCTATTAGCTAGGACTTCTGAGATAGTGGTCACTGATTTTATGTATTGTCCTGAAGGAAACCAAATCAGACTTCTATTTCTACCTAAAGTGACTTGTATGTGGACCCTTCTTCCCATCCGAATTTTCTATACAGGATACAGATTTTGGCTTCGACAAGACAGTTCAGCTTGTAATCACTTGTTTCTCTCTTTTGTGAAACTTGACATTTGGCAATAGCCCTATTAGAGCCTTGAAGCAAAGTGGTGTGCTTCTTTCTCCTGGTTACCAGAGCTGAGTGCTCCCAAAAGGATTTACAAAGTGCAGGGCTTTGGAGCCCACCCGAAACTGGGCTCGAGGGAGACACGCCCAGAGGATGCCGACTTGGCGCATCAAAGTATTATGACAAGAACATCGCCTTTGCAGAAGAATGGCTCTGGAACCTTGGGCTTTTTCTCTGCAAAACTGATGATCATCTTTCTTTTA